AAAAAAGAATGCCTTTATATGTAGAGCCAGACCTATTTTTACATTTAAGCTTTATTATTTTCTAGTTGTACCTTTTCAATCAAGCCACTTAAACTTTCTGGGTTTCAGTTTATTCATCTTCAGGACACATGGCTAATGCCTACCTCCAAAGTCAGTTTCAGGATTAAATGAAAAAAAAAAATATGAAAGAGCCTGGTACAGTGCCTAAAACTCTGTGGAATTATTTTCATTTGAATATGGTAATTAGGATTAGTAGATGTTATTTGCATTTGAATATGATAATTATTATCTTTAATATCTTCTGCATTCATTTGCAATTGTTTTTAATACCTCTAAGCCCAAAGTTACCTAATCATTTAGTGAACACAGTAGTTCTCAAAGTGCCATCCCCCACCAATGTGTCAATCAGTGGAAAGTTTTTCATTTTTATTCTTTGATCCCATGAGGGGAGGTGGGTAGCAGGAGGCTAAGTAGTTCAGTTGACCAGGGTCAGAGTTCACCAGTGACAGGGAAGAAACTGAGAAGTACAGAGAAGGCATAGCACCCAAATGCAAGTGGCAAAAGTGGGATTTGAAGCCACAGTCTGACCCTAGAGCCCACACTCTTAGTCACTAGGTTTTATTGCCCAGTTTAGCTGAGGGGGCAGTGCTTTGGCCAGTCAGAGTGGGAGAGATTTCTGTCAGGAGAGTTTGAGAGAATGAAATAGGATGATCCAGGTTCTATAGGAGTACTCACCTAGGAATTTATTCAGGAAGCTGTTATTATTTATGTTATTTATTTATTTATTTATTTTTGAGATGGAGTCTTGCTGTGTCACCCGGACTGGAGTACAATGGCAGGATCTCCGCTCACTGCAACCTCTGCCTCCCAGGTTCAAGCAATTCTTCTGCTTCAACTTCCCAAGTATCTGGGACTACAGGCGTACACCACTATGCACGGCTAATTTCTGTATTTTTAGTAGAAATGAAGCTTCCCCATGTTGGCCAGGCTGGTCTTGAACTCCTGACCTCATGATCCACCCACTTTGGCCTCCCACGGGTGGATCACCTGAGGTCAGAAGTTTGAGACTAGCCTGATCAACATAGAGAAACCCTGTCTCTGCTAAAAATACAAAAATTAGCTGGGTGTGATGGTGCATGCCTTTAATCTCAACTGCTTGGAAGGCTGAGGCAGGAGAATTGGAATCCAGCAGGCGGAGATCGTGCCATTGCGCTCCAGCCTGGGCAACAAGAGTGAAACTCCATCTGAAAGAAAGAAAGAGAGAAAGAGAGAAAGAGAGAGAGAGAGGAGGGGGGAGGGAGGGAAGGAGGAAGGAAGGAAGGAAGGAAAGAAGGAAGAAAGGGAGGGAGGGAGGGAGGAAGGAAGGAAGGAAGGAGACATTTGAGTTTAGAATTGCCCGTGAGAGATTTTGGATTAGTCTTAAATATTTGTTTCCTTGCCTGATTTTCTCCTCTGCTGTTGCTTTCGCCTTTCTGTTTTGCTTGCTTTTTCCTCTTGATTTCATTCCCTCTCATTTATTTTTTATCTTGTGAGAAAAGCAATTATTCAGTGATATGCAAGATCCTGTCCAGGACCTGACTATCAGCTGCTTTCAGAGTCTAAAGATGAGACAAAAATGAGAATAGACTGGCTCCAATGTCTGAAATAATTCCTGTTCTATGTCATCGTCTCAGCCTTGCCTGAAAAAAAACTCTGAGAAGATATTAAAGCCCAAGGAGTAAAGCACTAAACCATGTAAAAATCCCAACACCAGAGAGAAAACAAGTATCTATTACTCTGTGGGAAGGGTATGAATGACAGGTGTTGTCGGCTTCTTTTCACAGCCTTTGGTAGCTTTTCTGTATCTTTATTGAACTCATGTAGCTACCAGTTTTTCAGAACTTAATCTTTGTTTTGTCAGTTTTTTTAGGTGTATGGGATATAGATGCTTTTTCTCTTAGTGGCTTTTCTTTAGAATATATATGTGGTCTCCTTCATTCTCAGTTGTTTTGGCAAACGCAAATCTCAATCACAACATTAGTCTTAAATACCTTTTCAATGGTCAACTTATTTTTAAAAATCGACTCTTTTGTTTATTTATTATGTTAAAAATATATACATAATTTATCATCTTAACCATTTTAACCGTATAGTTTTGTAGTGTTCAGTATGTTTACATTGTTGTAAATTAGATCTCCAAAACCTTATCTTCCCAAATTGAAATTCTATACTTATTAAACAAACTCCTTGCTTTGTAAAAAAAAGTTTTGTAACAATTCCTTTTCTACCATCCCTAGCACCTGGCAACCACCATTACAATTTCTATTTCTGTGAATTTGACTACATTAGATACTTTGTGTGAATGGGGTCATACTGCATTGCGACTCTGTGACTGTCATTTGTGACTGCCTTATTTCACATAGCATAATTTCCTCAGAGTTCATTCACATTGTAGTATGTGGCCAGGTTTTCTTCCTTTAAAGGCCACATAGTATTCCGTTGTCTGTGTAGACCACATTGTGTTTCTCCATCCATCTGTTGGTGGACCTTTGAGTTGCTGCCACCTCTTGATTACTGTATTGTGAATAGTGCTCCTATGAACATGAGTGTGCAAATGTTTCTTCAAGACTTTGCTTTCAGTTATTTTAGAGATATACCCAGAAGTAGAATTGCTGGATCATATGATAGTTCTAATTTTTTTGAGGTATGTCCATACTCTTTTCCGTAGGGGTGGTACCGTTTTACAGTCTTACCAACCACGCATAAGCATTCCAGTTTTTTCAAATCCTTGTCTACACTTGTTATTTGCTGGATTTTGTTTTGTTTTGTTTTGGTAGTAGCTGCACTAGTGGGCATGAAGTGATAGCTCATTGTGATTTTGATTTGCATTTCTGTAATTGATGATGCGTTAAGCATCTTTTCACATCCTTATTGGCTATTTGTATACCATGTTTAGAGAAATGTCTGTTTATGTCCTTTGCCCATTTTTTAATCAGATTATTTGATTTATATTTTGTTGTAGGTATTATACCCTTATCAGATAAATAATTTGCAAATATATTCTCCGATTTTGTGGGTTGCCATTTTACAGTTTTGATTGTATACTTTGTTTTGTTTGTTTGTCTGAGACACAGCCTCACTCTGTTGTCCAGGCTGGAGTGCAGTCGCAGGATCTCTGCTCATTGCAGCCTCCACCTCCTGGGTTCAAGTGATTCTCATGCCTCAGCCTCCCGAGTAGCTGGGGCTACAGGCACATGCTACCACACCTGGCTAATTTTGGTATTTTTAGTAGAGACAGGGCTTCACCATGTTGGCCAAACTGGCTTCAAACTCCTGATCTCAAGTGATCCTCCCACCTCAACCTCCCAAAGTGCCGGGATTACAGGCATGAGCCTGTACTTTGAGCAAATGTTTTAAATGTTGATGTGTACCATTTGTCTATTTTTTTTTTTTAATAATAATCTGTGCTCTTGGTGTCATATCCAAGAAAACCGTTACCAAATCCAAAGTTAGGAAGCTTGTCATCTATTTTTCCTTCTACATATTTTATACTTTGGGGTAACAGACTTACTTTCTCTTTCTTTGACTTTAATTTTTACAGCAGTATTAGGTTCAATGCAAAACTGAGCAGAAATTAGAGTTCCCAACACCCCTCCCCGAACACATGGGCAACCTCTCCCACTATCAATATTCTGCACCTGAGTACATTTGTTATAATCAACAACCTACACTGACACATCATTATCACTCAGAGCTCATAATTTACATTAGACTTCACTCTTGATATACAGTCTGTATGTTTTAACAAGTTATAATGACATGTGTCTACCACATAGTGTTACACAGAATAGTTTTACTGCCCTGAAAATCCTTTGTGCTGTTCTGTTCTTCCCAGGCTGGAGTGCAGTGGTGTGATCACAGCTCACTGCAGCCTCAAACGCCTGCGCTCAAGTGATCCTCCCACCTCTGCCTCCCGAGTAGCTAGGATTGCAGGCACATGCCACAAGCCTGGCTATTTTAAAAATTTTTTTGTAAAGATGACCTGTTCATCTGTTGTCCTGGCTGGTCTCAAACTCCTAATTTCACACTAATGCCTGCTTTGGCCTCCCAAAGGTCTGGGATTATAGGTGTGAGTCACCACCCCTGGCCACTCAAGAGGTTAATTTTTAATCCAGAAATTTTGAACTATTTAGAAGATACTATCATAAAGTATTCAGTGTTCAAGTTGTGGAACTATAAGATACTTCTGGCTGGGTGCAGTGGCTCACGCCTGTAATCCCAGCACTTTGGGAGGCCGAGGTGGGCGGATCACGAGGTCAGGAGATCAAGACTATCCTGCACAACATGGTGAAATCCTGTCTCTACTAATATACACAAATTAGCCAGGCGTGGTGTTGTGCACCTGTATTCCCAACTACTTGGGAGGCTGAGGCAGGAGAATCGCTTGAACCTGGGTGGTGGAGGTTACAGTGAGCCGAGATCACACCACTGCACTCCAGCTTTGTAACAGCGCAAGACTTTGTCCAAAAAAAAAAAAAAAAAAAAAAAAAAAAAAAAAAAAAAAAAAAAAAAAAAAAAAAAAAAAAAAAAAAAAAAAAAAAAAAACCACTTCTGAGAGTTTGTCACCTGGTTTAATACTCATTGAAGTAGAAATTTAATCAGAGTTATGTTTCCTTTCTCACAAGCAATGTTAATTAACAAAAGCATCAAAACCACAAAACATTATTTAAGAAAATTGCCAGCTCCTTTGCATGCTTTTAGAGCATGACATTTTTAAAAGTTTTTTTCATAGGTGTTCTTTATTTTGATCATCTTACATATTCTCTGAGATGGTTAAGGCAGGCAAGATAATTTACATTTAACTCATTGACCAGTCTGAGGCTGGACTAAGGTAAGTGACCTGCTCAGGATTTCATGGCTAGAAAGTCCAGCTTCTTAACCCCAAGTCATTGTCTGTCTCCACTCTACTTGCTTGCCTTGTCTTTTGGCCCTGAAAACATGAATGTGCTGTTAGCCTCATGCAGAGGTAAATACAATTGTGTTAGTGACTGGTTTCTTTCCCCAGCTGTTTAAAACAGTGTAAGGCCAGGTGTAGTGGCTCTCATCTGTAGTCCCAGCACTTTGGGAGGCCAAGGCAGAAGGATCCCTTAAACCCAGAGTCTCTATCAAAAAATGTAAAAATTAGCCAGGCATGGTGGTGCATGCCTGTGGTCCCACCTACTCAGGAGGCCAAGGTAAGAAGAGCACTTGAGCCTGTGAAGTCGAGGCTGCAATGAGCCATGATCATGCCACTGTACTCTAGCCTGGGTGACAGAGCGAGACCCTGTCTCAAAAAAATAAAATAAAAAGGAAAAAACAGCATAGACTCTGATATACTGTGGGGTGAAGTTGTTAAACAGAAATATTTGTTATTGTTTAGAATTATTTGGGTGGCCTGGGGGGATTACTCCTGTAATCCCGACATTTGGGAGGCCAAGGCAGAAGGATTGCTTGATCCCAGGAGATTGAGACCATCCTGGACAACATAGTGAGACCTTATCTATTAAAAAAAATATTATCCAGGTACAGTGGTGAGTACCTGTAGTCCCAGCTACTTGGGAGGCTGAAGCAGAAGGATCAATTGAGCACCGGAGGTTGAAGCTACAGTGAGCTGTGACCATAACACTGCACTCCAACATGGGTGACTGAGGCCTTATCTCTAAATAAATTAATAAATGTGAACAAAAATAATTATTTTTAGATTGAGTCTCTCTTATCCGAAATGCTTGGGATCAGAAGTGTTTCAGATTTTGGATTTTTTCAGATTTGGGAATATTTCCATATACTTAATAAGATATAGGTAGGACCCAAGCCTAAACATAAAATTCCTTTATGTTTCATATATGCCTTCACATAGCCTGAATGTAATTTTATACAATATTTTAAATTAATTTGTGCATGAAACAAAGTTTTGAGTCTGTTTTGACTGTGACCCATCACATGAGGTCAGGTGTGGAATTTTCTGCCTGTGGCATCATGTTGGTATGCAAAAAGTTGCAGATTTTTGAGCATTTCAAAGTTTGGATTTTCAGATTAGGAATGCTCAACCTGTATTAAATTATAGTATTGTTGATGTTCTTTCTCATAAGACTATTTTTAAGGGGTCACATGAGATTTTCTCTTGTCATTATTTAGAAGTTAAATGTTAAAACAATGCTATGTACTCTATCGCCTTGTGTCTGTTTATTAAACTCTCATAGACTGTTTCCTTGTTTGTGAAAGAAATGACAACAATTTTTAAAAGCAAGATTATGTAATTAAAATTTGTTTGCATGGCACTTTAAGACACTCTTTGTTTTTTTTTTTTTTTTTTTTTTTTTTGAGACAGAATCTCACTCCATTGCCAGGCTGGAGTGCAGTGGCACAATCTTGGCTCACTGCAACCTTTGTCTCCTGGGTTCAAGAGATTCTCCTGCCTCAGCCTCCTGAGTGGCTGTGACAACAGGCACCACCACACCCAGCTAATTTTTTTTTGTATTTTTAGTAGAGACGAGGTTTCACCATGTTGGCCAGGATGGTCTCAATCTCTTGACCTCGTTATCCGCCCACCTTGGCCTCCCAAAGTGCTGGGATTACAGACGTGAGCCACCTTGCCC